GTCGTTGTCCTTTTCTTCCTCAGCTCTCCTAATTATGGTCACCTCGCGTGGCGAGCTACGGTGTTCTGTTGGCAGTTGTCTGCGTTGGGGGCCCTTACGGGGCCCCGCGATCGCCAAAGACAGCTCGGCGCGACGACGGGCTGGTCCTCAGAAAGGGGGCCAGGACTCTACATGGGAGCCACGCTGCGAAACAAAACATGGCTTCGGACATCTGGATCCTCCTTGCTCCGTTTGTCTCGTCCGTTCTTACATTGCACCTCCCTCACCTATCCTACACCTTCTCGTTCTCCACATATTGTTCAACATGAGTGCTAGTTATTATTTTCTCTCCCCTGATACCGTATCCCCCCCGCGCCTATCGCGGATATGGTTTGTCTCATCTTGTTGCCCCAATTTAGCTTCCGATATCGTTTTCAAATCAGAACGTTCTCTGCCTCTCAAGAATGGTGCTCCCGCTCCAGCATGGATTAAATTTCAGGAGCGGGGCTTTGCTTGCGTCGTTCAGAACGGCGCTCTCGCCCCAGCGCGGACCACATTTCCGTATCCGGTTCCTTTCCTTTCTCGTCGTTGCCGCCACCCTTCGTTTCCCCCATCCGTCTCCCCTGGTCATCCTGATCGTCCCGTTCGTCGTGCTCCTGCTGCTACTGCTCCTCTTCCTCCCTCATCCTCCCCCTCCTCTTGCTTACACGCCATCTCCTCTTCCAGTACACACGGGTCCCCTCTTTGATTGCGCATCACACGACGAGGTTATCCGTAAGGGATTCGCACATTGCCGCCGGCCCCCTACGCGTCGGTACGTCTCGGTACGTCTCGGCGGTGCCTTGGCGCATCTGGGAGCATCATGCGGGGGCGGATAGGAATCATCAGCGCATATTGAGACGTCGGCGTTATGTGGCCTTCGGCCCATCTCGCCACCGTGCCTGGGTTGTGGGTCTGAGGCCTCTTGTATATGTGGTGGGGTGTCGTGGGAAGCTTCTCGGGGGCCTCTTGGAGGCGGTTTGGACGCCTCTTGGGGGCCTCTTGGGGCCTCGTGGGGCATTCTTTGACCTCGTAGAGGCATCTTGGGCGCCTCTTGGGGCCTCTTGGTGGCCTCCTTGCGGCCTCTTGGCGGCCTCCTGGGGGCTTCTCGGGCCACAAATATATAATTTTCGGTTCGTGTGGTCGCATCCTTGGGCCCCTCTTGGGGCCGTCTCGAGCGCTTCTTGGTTAATCTTGGAGCCGTCTGGGGGCCCTCTTGGAGGCCTCTTTGGCTGTCTTGGGGCGGTCTTGGGAGCTTCTGAAGCCGTCTTGGAGCATAGGAGAGCCAGAAATGCGAGAAAGCCAACATCCTTGGAACAACTGCGTAACATCTGCGATGTTGGCCTCTTGGGGTTCTCTTGGAGCGCTCTTGGGTCCTCTTGGAGCCTTATTGGGCCGTCTTAGACCCATCTTCGGGCGCCTTGGAGCACTCTTGGCCTCGGCAATGCGGGTGCATCGTAACTTGCGAAGGTTTATGGCCTCGGGGTCGCGAATATTGTTTACTTTACGAGGGTTTGTTGCCTCGGGGACGCAATAATTTGGCAATTTGCGACGGTTAATGGCCTCGGGGACGCGACTAGTAAGTAATTTACTAAGGATTCTGGCCTCGGGGCGCGCGAATCTCATGTATTTTTACTTGTCCCACGCCCCCCCGGGCATTCAGGCAGCGCGATTCGGGCGTGGTTTGGGGCTCCCCCCTCGCGCGGACTCGAACAATTTAGGGAACCAGAAAGCAGGATTGTAACATGGGAGATTTGACATTACAATTGGTGCAGGGAGCAGCATTTTCGCCCTACAGCCTGGTGGCCCACAAGGGGGCTGGCGGATCTTTGGGACCCAGATCCGTAGGTACACCCTCTAGGTGATGTAGAACATCAGTGCTGCTCCCTCTCTCCCTTCTTCGCCTCGTCTTCCTCCGTTCAGCTCGCGCGCGCTCAACCGCGCGCGCGGGGGAAGGAGAAGGGGGAGCAGGGGGAATCCAGGAGAGGGATCAGGAATAGGGAGCATGGGGGGAAGGGGGGGTTCCAGGATCGAGTCACAGCGAGGTGCTGGGTCTGCGGATGCGCTTCCCCCCCCAACCCTGGGCCTCTGGGCCGCCCCGTCCCCTTTTCTCTCTATACGTACGTATGTAGCTCATTTGTCGTCTCTCTCTCTCTCTCTGTTTCCTTTGTCTTTATCTCTAACACTGCGCATTCATCATTACGTGTAAACTTATATATGTATATAAAGTGTAAGCGTGCTAGCCTAGCATGTTCAGTGCTGTCCCATCACCGCCTCTCTCCATACAGTTGTAGTATCATATGCACATTATTGTACGTATCTGTATGTATGCTCTCTATCTCTATACCCCCCTTCTTCTTTACCGCCCCCCGAGAACCCGAAGGGCCCTCCAGGATGAGGAGGGGGGAGGCGGAGCCTCGTCCAACGTCTAAAGCCCGTTGCCCTCCACCCCGTGCTGCTCCTCTCCTCCCATGCCCCATGCCCGGCGCTCGTCGCTCGCCGTCTTTGTCGTTGCTCGCTGCCGTCGCTGTCAGCCGAGACCTGCTGTGATCGTCGTCGTCGTCGTCGTTGTCCGACATCGCCGTCGCCGTCGTGGCCGTTTGACGTCTTCGTCGTCGTTCGTCGTTTGGTCGTTCGGCGTCCGCTGTTCGTCGCCCGCGGTCAGGGTTTCTTTTCGCTCGTCACTCGTCGTGACATTCGTTCGTCGCCGCCGTCGTCCTCCTGCTCTCCGGAGGAGCGTCTTCCCGCGGAGATCCGGGGCCTGGACGAGGGCGTCAAGAGGCTGGAGGAGCTCGTGCGTCTGAGGCCCCCGCCGTCGGTGGGCCGCCGATCGGGAGAGCGGCGGCTCCTGGCGGCCTCGCATCCTGAAGAAGCATACGGGCCCAGCTTCGCTCGGACGTGTGTATTGTTTTTCTCGGCGAGGACCCTCGAGAGGGCCATCCTGGACCATCGAGCAAAACAAAACACGCACGAAACCGAAACTGCACGGGACATGGACGTCCGAGCGACGGTTACGACGGGAGACGTTTGCAGTTTTCGGCGAAGCGGGCAACGAGAGCCGGGAGGAAGAGAAGCAGGAGGAGGCTCGAGGATGTAAGGTTTTAGGACCGAGCTTGGACGCATACGTGCCCCTTCTTGGGCCGCCGAGGGGGGCTCCTCGTGGCCACGCCTTGCCAGAGCAGCGCAACCCAGCACGGGTCCGGGGTCCGAGGTTGACCCTCGCGCCCACATGCCCGGGCGTCTCGGAGAACTCACGACCCTGACCTTCCAGGAGGACTAAAAAATGGCACCCGACTTAAAAACCTATCCCAGAGCTATTCTACGTCTGGGTGTTAGGCTGTTTCGTTTAGTTTTTTAGGTTTGTAGGCCTCCAGTGCTAAAAAGATAGCTCTCTGGAAGGTCAGGGGACGGACGGCTTGTGGGCCGACGTTCGTCTCCAGAGGCCCTCTTTGTTGGGCCCTGGGGCCGTCCCGAAACGGGTCTCGGGATGGCGGTCTCGCCCTCCGGGAGCGGGGGCCCAGACCTCTACAGGGGAGCCACGCCGTCGGGAGGAGCACGGCCCCTCGGATGCCTCTGGGGGGTGGTGATTGCCGGCCGGGAGTGCCCCCACGGCCACGGACTGCTGTCGGGCCGAGCGAAAGGGGGGGAAAGGGAAAGGGGGCAATTGCGAAATCTGCTGCGTGCAGCTGGTTTCGGCCCCGGCGCCGGGCCCATTCCTCCCCTCCCGGCGCCGGGAGGCGCTGGGAGAAGGAGCTACGCGAGCTGATTCTCTACCCTACCCTTTGCTATCCCCCCCTTTCGTTCCCCCCCGATGCTGAGACTCGGACAGGCGAGCGGAATTTCCAGCCTACTCCGCCGCCTCCTCCTCCTCCTCTTTCGTGTATGCGTCTTGATTTGCTGTGTTCCTCACCCTTCGTCGATGCAGCTCGAGCTTGCTCTGGTCCTTTTCCTTCTGGTGCTGCCTGCTATCAGGGAAAATACCGGATACGAATCCTTGTGCTTCGCGGCGCAGCGGCTGATGAATCATGAAGCAGCAGAGTTTTTTAAATGGCCGCCCCACCCCTGAAGATGGGTCTAGGTCTCATTTGCGCTCTGCATCGTTTGGTCAGCGTGCCGCTCCTCTGGTTCTGGCCCATCTCGCTTCGACTCGACACGCTAACCACGTCCCAGTCCCCGAGCGACAAGTTCCCGAGCCTCTGCCGGCCTCCCTTCCCGTGGGGCTTACCGACGCGTTATCCTCTTGCAGGGCACAGCGCGACTCCGGGGTCGCCGCCGCGACACGCCGAGAGCAAACGTTCCTGACCGTAAGCTTACCGCGAGCTTGGTAGTCCTCCCCCTCCTGCGCCGCGGCTCGGCAGAGACTAGAGAGGCCCGCCCTGCGCAGCCGTGGCCACGAGGGAGCTGGGTCTCGGGAGGCCTCCACAGGCACCATACACGAACAGAGACGCCCACGAGCCTGGATCCTCCCCCTCCTGAGGAGGCTGGGTCCCCAAGCCCGGGTCTAGGCATGGCCGTGCTTGGGACCATTGTTTGCCCGCAGGGATGCTGCAGGACGGCGTCGACCACGACGGCGACGACGGACATGGCGACGATGACAGCGGCGGCGACAGCGACGACGACGACGACGACGACAGCGGCGGCGGCGACAACGACAACGGCGACGACGACGGTGACGACGACAGCGGCGTCGACATCGGCGGCGACGCGTTGGCGGTTGCGACGGTGGCGGCGACAGCGGCGGCGGCGACGGCGGCGGCGGCAACGACGGCTACGGCGGCGGTGCTGGCGACGACGACGGCGGCGGCGGCGATGCCAGGCATGCGGAAGACGACGACGTCTTCGTCGTCGCCGTCGCCGCCTCCGTTGCCGTCGTCGTTGCCGCCGCCGCTGCCGTCGCCGCCGCCGCCGCCTCAGATGTCGTCTTCGTCGGCGGCGGCGGCGGCAGCTGCTTTGACGGCGGCGGCGGCGGCAACGGCGGCTTCGGCGGCGGCGGCGGCGGCACCGCGGGGCCGAGGCTGCTGGCCTCCGCCGCGGCCGGCGACCCGGCGGAGGGCGAGCCCGCCTGCCAGGATCGGGGGGGGGGGGGGGCAGGGGGGTGGAGGCTCATCAGGTGCAACGTCAGGGGGGGATGCAGGCAGGCTGGCTTTGCGCTGCTGAAGGCCCCTCGTCCCCTGACCATCCAGAATGGTAGCAGATGGCCCTTCAGACTCAGAGGCCTATCTCGACCGCGCAAAACCTCGACTGGAGCTTCGATGCCGAGGTCCTGGTGCTAATCTCTGGCCGTTGAAAGGTCAGCGTTCTTAGGGCCCCATGCGGTCGGCAACTTTTGCTTAGCGTGTCGCTCCGCCGGTCCTAGCCCACCACGCTTCGGCGCGACACGCGACCCACTCCCCACCGCCCCGCGGGGCGGAGCGACACGCGATCCGCTCGCAGAGGATTGCACGTCGCCGGGGCCGCCGCCGCGACACGCTAAGCAAACGTTCCTGACCGTAAGCTGAGGGGGGGGCGCCTCGAGATGAAGTTTCGGGACAGAGGTCAGGGGTTACGGACGCTGTCGTCGGTCCTCGGCGGTTTCCCAGCTCCAGGATGCTTTCCGACAGCTGCGCCCCGACCTGTAAATCAGGTGGCAATAGGCTCAGCGGCCCAGGGGGGCGCATTGACCCCCAATCGCCCATGGATCGCCGATTGGTGTCCGATAGCCTGCTTGGCCCAGGAGCGTCCGAATTCGCTATCGAGGGCTCATCGCCGACCTGCTGGCGACGCATCGCCGTGCAAGCTCGATGCGTTCCCCGAGCTGGCCCGCCGGTACCCCCTTGTCGTTTCCCCTCAGGACGGGGAAGGCCGGCAATTCGGGGATCCACGCTTCGAGGTGAGATGCTCGCCCCTTCTGGGCGCGTCGAGCAGAAGCGACGCGGCGGCACGCACGTAAATGTATCATCGGAGAGCTCGGTCTCCGGTTCGTCCTGCCTCCCCGGTGGATTTGGGGCCCCCAGACGGGGTGGCGACCACACCGTGTGGTGTCTCGGTGGGAAGTCGGGGTCACCGCGCGGCTTTGGGACTTGGGGGCCCTTCTCCGAGGATGTCTTGGGCGACGGTCAGGAGGGAAAGAGACACACACAGACACGATGAGTCTCCGATCCCCACGAAAGCATGGGACACTATGGGAAGCGGGGGGGCAGACGAAACCTCCCCAAACTATGGAAACAATTGGGGACGTCCTGTCACTTGCGTGTGCATTTCTCTGCGTGCGGCCCTGTGCTCCCTCCGACGGGGGCCTCCCGGGTCCCGAGACCGAGCTGTGCCCCCCTGGGGGCTGCCGAAGCCGCCGCGCGGCCCGCCGCCCGCGCGGCCTCGGCGTCCCCCCCGCCGGCGGAGAGGGGCGCCCCGCCGGCGGAGGGGGCCGTCCCGCGAGGAGGGCGCGGGCGAGGCGCCGCCGCCGACGGCGTCCCGCGGCAGCGCGGGGCACCCGGAGGCCTGCGCCGTGCCCTGCAAGTTCTACGCCACGAAGCGGGGCTGCAAGGACCGTCCACGGCTCCCCTCGGCTCGTGATTTTTTGAGTCGGGCGTGTCCCTCTTTATGCAGGAGGAGCACGCCACAAGAGTCGAAGAATAGTCTGAGGACGATGCTTTGACTGCTTTGGGCAATCTTGGGGTATGTTTGGGGTCTGCTTTATTGTTGGTCGAAAAATAGCCCTGTAGGGGGGACATGCCCGATCTAATCTTATGACGTTCCAACCTACTTTAGCCTGGGTCACCAGCAGGAATTTCGAGCACCCACAAAGTAGCGAAACCCTCGAGAGTTTTCGCGTGTCGGGCCCTGGGAGACGGTTTCGACTCTGTTTCGACACTCTTTCGACACTTGTCCGGGTGCTCGACATTCTTTCGGGGATATTGTCCATGAGTACGATGGGAAAAATATCCTTCGTCATGGCGCCAACATCGCAGAGCGGATGTCGCGCGGAAAACAATGGGATGGGCCCAGATTGTCCCGGAGAATGTCGTTCCGGATTCGGAGTGCATTTCGCGCGGATTTTTTGGGCCAGGAAGGAAGGCTACAAAAAATCCGCGTGAAATTAACTTCGTTTTTCGCTCGCCGTGTCGGGGCTTTGTATTGACGGAATTCCACGCAAAAATCCGCTTCAGTACGTCTGCAAGGTCGGTGCAGTGAGACTTTCCACTGCCCCCCTCGAAGAAGAACAAAGGCATGATCATGGAAGGGAGGGTCAGGGCGAAAGCAGGGGCGAGGTTGAGGAGGGTGAGGAGGATACTGACGGAGAGCTGTGAGGATGGCGGAGAAGGCGGCGGTGGTGGAGGGGTCTCTGCCTCGGGTGACGCTGTTTTCTAAGAAGACCAGTGTTGCTCTTCTGAGGCCGCGGCATGTTCAACGTTTCCTCCGCAGGAAAGAAACGCCATACAACACTTTCGGAGTTCCGCGCGGATTTCTTGGATCTGAGCCTGAACCCCTGGCGGCGCCTCTGGCGCCACCCCTTGCGCCGCCCCTGGCGCGCCCAGCGCGGCAGGGAGGGGGTTCCAGCACAGATTCAACAAATCCGCGCGGAGCTCCCAGAGCTGATGTTCATGCACTTTTTCCTTTTTCTCCCCCCTCCCCCCCCTGAGGAGGAGGGGCAGCGTCCGGGTGGGATAGGCTCATGGGGGCAAAGCATCGACCCCACATCGCCGATGGATCGCCGAAAGGGGGCGGGAAAGCCCGCCCCGCCCGGGAGCGGGCGGGCTCGATGTATGTCGGGGGCCGATCGCGATCTATGGGTAATGTATCGCCGACTCGACCTCGCGGTTCCCCCTGGAAGGTTTCTCCGAAGGGCTTAGGCGACCCCTCCTCCTCCTCCTCCTCCTCCTCCTCCTCCTCCTCCTCCTCCTGAGGAGGAGATTCAGGGGCATCTGATGGCCGCTGCCTTTCAGGGCCTTGTCCTGCCGATCCCTGAACCTGACATCGATTGAGTTGGCAACAGTGGATATTATCTGCATTGTCTCGCTCTTCCTGTCCCTCGGCTACTCGCTCTACTCTCTTTTCCTCTCCCTGGACTTCTTGGCGGTTGAGGCTATTATGTAAGGGGCTTCCGCCTTCGCTCATTCCTCGGTGCCGAGGTGCGGATTCGCCGTGTTTGTTATGTCACAGAGACTCCCTTTTGGGCACGCTCCACCTCCTCCTCCTCCTCCTCCTCCTCCTTTCCTCCTCCTCCTCTTCCTCCCTCCTCCTCATCCTTCTCCTCCCTCCTCCTCCTCCTCCTCCTTCTCCTCCTCCTCCCCCTCCTCCTCCATCTCATCCTCCCCCTCCCCCTCCTCCACCTCCTCCTCCTCTTTCTCCTCCTCGGGTCACCTTCGGCCCCGGGGGAAACCGTGCAGTTCCCCCCCCCCCCCCCTGAGCCGGTCCGCGACTATCGTTCCCCCTCTGGGAGCCTTGAGACGGGGGTCAATGCAAACGGGGACCAGCCAGAGCGCCAGATCCTGCAGGATCCTGCAAGTCCAGGGTTGCATTGGCCTAGGTTTCTTTGGTGCATCTTGCAGGATCCTGACTGACCAGGGTTTGCATTAGATCCCCGACCCCTCGGAGGAGGGAAAAAGAAGGAGGTTTTCGCCAGCTGCTGAGATTATTCGTAGCTTGTTCAGCGCCCGGGTTGGTTTCCATCAGCCGCGGCTCGTCGGGCCGAGGGGGATTTTCGCACCGCGCCTTGGCTCCTCCTCCTCTTCCGCCTCCACATTCAGGAGGGGAAAAACACACAGACACGAATAATCGTCGATTCCAAACAAGCATGGGAAGCGGATGGGAAAACGCACATCGAGGAACTGGAAATTACCGTGTGACGTACCCAACCCAATCAAGTGGCAAGATGAATTGGCCCAAACTTACCAGGACAATGGCAGTGCAGGCGCCGTTTTATGTTGTGGGTGCGCTCACGTGCAGGATTCGTAGGACAACGACAGAAGGACGAGGAGCGAGGGCCCAGGCTTGAGGAGGACATGGGGGCGGGAACGAAAGGCACGAGAATGACGCGTGGGGGGCCGACCCGCCAGCGCGGCAGCAGCACAGGGAAGGTGGCAGGGGGCAGGGGACGACCACGAAAGTGACGGGAGGAGACCGAAAAGGCTTGCGTTTGTCGGTAGCGCGCTAAAGATGCAGCGTTGCCTGCGCCATGTCACCGCGGCTCTAGACCAAATTATTACACCTGCTTATAGTTAGTTAGTGCAAGGAGCGAGCGAGGCCTAGCTCGCCCGCAAGTTTCCCTGTTTCTTTCCTGCACTTGTCAGTGCGGGAACTGAACGCTCGAAGGCGCGCCGCCAGGTCTGCGGGCGGCCCGCGACAGCGCCCCTCTGGACCACCAGCCGCCCTCGAAAGTTGTGACAGTTTGTCAGATCGCAGCCCCCCAGGGACGGCGGGGTCTAATCTGAGTATTGGTGGTGCCTCGCTCCGCTGAACCTGTCAGCAGGCTTCGAAGGTCGCGACAGTTTCGCGGATCGCAGCCCTCCAGGGATGGCGAGATCGAATCTGATCCTGGGGTGGTGCCTCGCTCCGCTGAACCTCCCATCAGGCCTCGAAATCGGTGACAGTTTCGCAAATCGCAGTGCCTCACTCCACTGAACCCCTTCAGCAGGCGTCAGAAGTTGCGACGGTTTCGCGGATCGCAGGCCCCCCAGGAACGGCGAGGTCTAATTTGAGTCTGGTTGGCGCTCCACTCCGCTGAACCCTTCAGCAGGCGTCGAAAGTGGCGACGGTTTCGCAGATCGCAGCCCCCCGAGGGATGGCGAGGTCGATTCTGAGCCTGGGTGGTGCCTCACTCTGCTGAACCCCTCAGCAGGCTTCGAAAGTGGCGACAGGTTTGCAGATTCCAACGTCCAGGGATGGCGAAGGATGGCGAGGTGTAGTTTGAGTCGGGCTGGTGCTTCACTCCTCTGGCCTCCCCAGCAAGCGTCGAAATTGGTGACATTTTCGCATATCGCAGCCTCCAGGGATGGCGAGATCGGAAACAGGGTAGAAAGCAGGTCGGAGGGATGAGAGTGGAAAGGGGGGCGGGAGGAAGGAGGGGAGACCGTTGTGTTCTAGTCAAAACGGGTGCCCAACGCAGGAGGGTTGGGAAATATTATAGACCCTGGGGTTTGGTGTATGAATGTGTGTGTATGAATGTGTGTGTGTGTGTGTGTGTGTGTGTGTTCCGTGGGTCCCCTTCACTCATCCTATCCCTCGCTCCTCCTCTGTTAGCTTGCGATGGTCGTGGACCGGCGCGGCGGTGAACGGTGGCCACGCCATTGTGGAACATATCGATTCCAATTGAAGATCGAGCGTCGGCGGCTAGTTGGAAGCAGCCGCGCCTTGTCGAGGGTTTTCGGGTGAAGCCGGATTCGCGCCAAAGGCTGAAACCTCGAGATCCAGTCGATCCGATCGATCCAGTTCGACATCGATGTCGGCGGGCCCGATCCGAGTCGATGCGGGCATCCCGGCGACCCGATGTGGCCCGAGATTCCGTGCCCTGCAAGATCCTCTTCCTCCCCCCGAGGAGGTTCCCAAGCCTCGGCATTCCTTCCTGCAGCTGGCTGCGTGTCGCTGAGTTTCCTTCCGGGAAGGTCGAATTCGTCCGCCAACGGCCGCCGCAGACTTGAGTTGGGACCCGAAAGCTCGACATCCCGAGGGAGGATCGGGGGAGCGTAAGACCCGGGTTTGCCAGGACTCGGGTTCGCCATCGTTTTTTGACGACCGCGCCGCGGATTTTGACGAGGAGGAGTTTCGTGGGATGTCTGCAGCCGGGAGGCCTCGTCAAAATGCAGGCTCGGCCTCGTCATTTTTGTTGACGACCTCGTCGGGGATTTTTTCGAGTCCCCTGTACCCAGGTCTTACGTCCCCCTGAGAGGAGGAGGAGGGCCCACAAGCTAGACCCCTCGAGGCTGGGGAGGAGGAGGGCGAGAAGGAGGTGGAGGCTGCGCCGTCGACGGAGCGAGAAGACGGCATCCCCTCTTCGGCGGGTAGGCGGCGGGAGGGCTTCTCGTCCGCCTCGGGCACCCGCGCTCGGACGGGTCGCAGGCACTGTGCAAGGCGGTCGCCTCGCAGGCAAGTCATCTGCCCGAATCCCCGAATTCCGCCCGAAAAACTTGGCCTCTCAGAAGCGGGGGTTGGAAGCTCTGGGAAACACCCCTGGGGGGGGGGGGGGGGGGCATTCTGATGCACCCCAGATCGGGGATGCGCGCCCCCCTTCGTATGTCCCCGAGTTCGGCTTCAAGTTGTTGATCCATGACAGAAGCCACAGAAGTCCGGGATTGGCGTCGCCATGCTCCGCGTAATTATCCCGAGTTTGGGTCCATTGACGACACCACAGAAGTATGGGATTGGCGTCGCCATATACCCCCCTTGTTACTTGCGCCTTGGGTCCAGTCAAGAACCCACGGAAGCCTGGGATTGGGGTCGCCATGCCCCCGTCAGCATTTGCGCAGCACTAATCACGAAGCGTTAGCCCTTGATCGTCCCGTCCGGCTGCTCTTTCCCACTAGGTAGCCAATGCCAATTGCGTTTGCAACTTGCGACGGCATGTTGCGCTGACAGGGCTTCGGCGCGCCAGAAAGTTGGGCTGCATGCAATACCAATGTGGGGTAATGGGAATTCCAACTTGTCTAGCCAAATCGGCTAGTATTTGCGCGCTACGACTTGGGCATCTAGGCGCGGCTCCAACGGGCACGCCACACCTGCACCTCCTGCAAACCCAGGGCCAGCAAAAATCAGGCTTATGAAAAAACTAGATTTGATAGTGGAATCTCTTATGCGAGATGTTTTTAATCATCAGGTGGACTGCACGTCACAGGCGTCCGAACTGGTTCCCCATCTGGCCTGGAGGCAGCCAGCAGCCGGCACCGCGCGACGCCGTGTCTGACGAGGCTGGGCCTGCTTCTGCCTGCGTTTGATGGCCTATGTGCCAACTCGGGCGTGAGCTCCTCCACTGGGGAGGGGCAGGGGAGGAGGGGGGTAGCCCAGAGCATACACTGCAACAGATGAAGCATACGAGGACGGAGGGATGGGATGGAAGGGGGGCGGCGGGGCCCCTCACATAGCGGCGTCGAGGATATCAGGGGCGCGCCTCTTGCTAACCTGTTCGATTATTGTCTGACTCTCTTTTATGTGTCTTCCAGAATCCGCCTGTAGGAGGACATGCCCAACCTGAATCCAGAGCCCTCAAGATGCCCTCGGGTTCAGCGCATGCCGCGCCCGAAGTCTCGGGAGCAGCCCCCGACTCTTGGGGGCGGGCGAGCGGAGGTGTGGGCGTGTCAAGCTGGGCACGGTCAAGACGCTGGAGTACAGAACTAGGGAAACGAACAGTGACATTAAAAACTTGGAGGTCCGCGCGTATTTCCCGAATCCGCGCTGGACCCCCCTGGCGGCGCCTCCAGCGCCGCCCCTGGCGCGCTCCGCGCGCCAGGGAGGGGGGCCCAGCGCCGATCCGAGAACTCCGCGCGGACCTCCGAGTTTCTATGTTTACGCCATGTTTCGTTCCCCTGAGAGCATGTGGGGTTCAGGAGGAGCTCTGGTTCCCGTGTCGCTCCTTAGATCTCAGGTCCAGGTCGAGAGCCGTCTCCGTGACCGTGGCTCACCGTGGCCAGAGCAGCCTTCTCGTTCTTTTTTGTGAAGGCCTTACGGCCCGTGCCGCCGAGCCAGAAGGACGACGACCACGACGACCACCACGACAACAGCCTTGGGAAAAAGGGCGGGCGGTGGAGGAGGAGGAGGAGGAGGAGGAGGAGGAAGCATAGGAGGAGTGGGAGGGGGCGGGGGAGGAGGAGGAGGAGGAGGAGGAGGAGGAGGAGGAGGAGGAGAAGGAAAAGGAGAAGAGCGGTCTGTCTGCTCGGGGGCGGTCTGGTGCTGGGGCCAGGGCTGGGGCCGGAGCTGGGCCCAGGAGGGGGTCGGGGCTGGGGCCGGGGCTGGGGCCGCCGGGGCGGGACCCAGGGCCCGGAGCCCAGGCCAGGGTCGTCGTCGTCGTCGTCGCGGCAGGGATTTCCTCTATTGTTGTGCGGGCTGGATGCTGTACGAGTTTTTCCTTCCCAGGGAAAAATCAATTTTGGGCTACCCTTCACGCGAGAGGGTGTGTGAGCATCTTCTCTTGAGTATTATAGTAGGTATCAGTGGCTGTGGTTGTAGTCGTGATTGTAGTCGTGGCTGCAATCGTGAATCCAACCGTGATTGTAGTCGCGATTGTAGTCGTAATGTTATCGTAGTCGTAGTCGTAATCGTCGTCGTCGCCGTCGCGGCTTGGTTTATTTTCCAAATAAAATTGTGTGGCTGGTTACTGTTCGGGGCTTTTTCTCCGCGGCGAACAATCCATGGTGGGCTACCCTACACGCGAGAGGATCAGTGATTATGGTTCTAGTTGTGATCGTAGTCGTGGTTGTAGTCGTAATCGTAGTCGTAGTCGTCGTCGTATCGTGGTCGTCGCAATCGTAGTCGAAGTCGTCGTTGTTCCTGTGAGGCGGGTCCCGCGGAGAAATAACGATGTTTCATTATTGGTGGGGCCCAAGTACGTCAATAAGGGCGTCGAACAGATGATTCGTTTCCACCATCGGGGTGGGGGCGAAGGCCCTTACGACGACGATTCAGAGGAGGTTGGCGAACTTCGGCTTGTGTTGGACGGGCCTTGCGTCGAAGAGCCTTTCACACACGTCGACTTGGTCGGCGGATTTGAGCGGAGCACGAAGACTGTATCCCTGGGCACGCTAGACTTCTGCGTGACATAATATGCGGCAGTTCGGCGCCCAGCAGCAGAGGGGTCGAGGGCCCGCGGGGAACAGCTTGGCTCTTCGAGAACGCCGCATCACAGGCTTGCGCATCCAGGTCGCACGACCGTCCAGCTCACATCACAGAAGAGGGAGCCGCCCTGGCCACCGCAGCGCAGAGATCCTGCGGGCACCGTGGTGGGCGCGGCTCTCCATTCTCTTGTCTCCGGGTCCTGTGCCGCGTCTTCGTGTTGTCGGGGTGGTCGCATCAGCCGTCGCGCCCCCGCCCTCGACCACCTTCGGCGGGGGCCTTACAGGCAAGAGGCCGAAACGAGGGCCACCTGTGGCCCAGGAGAAGCTTTGGTGTTCGGGCCGTTCCGGGGGCCTGTGCGTGGTCGGGGCTCGTCGCGAGCAGACACGCCCCTGCGTTCCTTCGGCGGCGCTCCTGATGGTAGCACGATGGTCCCTGGCATCCGCCGATGCGGTTTTGTCAGTCCGCGGCCCCAGAGGGACTCGTTGTCTTGGAAGCTACCCCTGGCGACTCATGGCCTCGTCTGCAGAGCTGCCTTCAGGTCCGCCCGTGTGCTGGAGGGGGCGCTGGGATTTTCCTGATCTCTGTCCTGTCCCCCCAGAGGACGGCCAGGAGTGCTCGTACTGCCACGCCTGCCGCTGGCGCAGCTGCCTGCGGCACCGGGCGCCGCGGCACCAGCGCGCGCCGCGGGCGGCTGCGGCGCCGTGCTCGCCGGCGGAGCAGGGCGCAGGCTGAGGGCACCCCGGCGGCGGCCCGCGGTTGAGCGGGCTTCCGCTCTGCGACCGCTATCGAACCCGACCCCACGCTGCATCTTCGGGTGACCTCGTCTGCCCCCGAATTTGGTGTTCATTTCCGGCGCCCGACGCGTGCCCGATGCGGACTCGACGAGGACGTGGCGTGGGTTCGACGCGGATTCGACGAGTCCGACATGGGTTCGTCATAGATTCGACGCGGATCGGATGTGGCGTTGGATTCGACGTGGATTCGACGCGGGTTCGACGAGTCCGGCATGGATTCGAAACGGATTCGACGCGGATAGGGGCGCGCAGGCATAGACGAGGCCCCCCGAAGATGAATTCACCCACCCCTGCAGGTCCACCTCGGCGCTGGGGGTTCGGACCACCCCGCTGGGGTTTTGCTTGGCTGCGGGCGACCTTTCGGATTCTGACCCCCAGCTGTCAGGAGGGAAAGAAACACACAGACACAATTAATCGTCGATTCCCAGGAAAGTTTGGGAAACTATGGGAAGTGGGGGGGAAGACAAGAACCCCGAACATACAGGAAAATATGGGGAATATTTCTATTTGTGTGTATTTATTTGTGTGTGTGTGTGTGTCCCAGGGCCCCTTCAAGCTAGCTTTTCAGAAAGCGTGTTCCGCATGGGGTGGGGTTCGCATGCGGTTTTGCCTGCGGTTCGCGTCGGACAGACAGCATGCCATGTGGCGCCGCCGGCCCGCCTGCAGCACGCTGCCCCCCCACCCCTTCGGGACGGCGCGCGCCGAAGCAGCCCTGGCAAGGGGCCATCGAGCACAGGGAGGGGCTCTTGCGGGGGGATCGCCTCACAGGGAAAGCGTGCTTCTCTCGAAGAGGAGGAAGTCGCACGAACATCTCTACTTTCGGCGTGCCGCGCTGATTCTTGGAGCGGCACTGGGGGCCCCCCTAGAGGCGCCTCCGGCGCCGACCCAGGCGCGCTCCGCGCAGCAGGGACTGGGCTCCAGTGCCGTTCAGCTAAGAACGCCATCGCCACATCAAGGCCCAGATCGTGAGGAGGAATTGCCCCTCTGACAGCTGGCTGAACTTTGGTGGCCATCTCCGCGATCAGCGGAATCTGCGCTCGATTGCGGCAAGTGTGCCAGGTTTCCTCGAGGTCGTTTTTTGACCTCGCCCGTGAGGTCGTTTGTGATCTCGCCCTCGGATTACCTCCTTGCCGTCCCCACCCTTCTCTTGCCCCTCCTCACCCTCACCCTGTACTACTTCTCCTCCTACTCGTCATCCTGTCTTCCTCGTCCTGTCTTCGACCTCCTGTCTTCCTCCTCCTCTTCATCCTCCCAACCCTGGGGAGGCGCGCTTTGAACAGCGAGCGCAGCTCGTCGGCCGCCAACATTTGTGTGATGGCAGTCTGCCGGCAGGCTCTGCGCCTGGTTGTGGCCGATTGGGCCGTCGAGCGGCGCGGACGAGGAGCGAGTGGCAGAGGTCGTACGCACCTCTGTTGCGATACACAGTCAACACGCATAGTAAGGGCGAGCGGTGTTCCAAGGTGACCCTTGCATCTTTCCCCTTCGGCCCATCCTCGGCCACTTTCGCCGGCCGCGCCCCGCTGGAGAAGTTCTGACATGGCCTTCCGAGGCCCTTGCTCCCTTGTCGTGCGCATCCTTAGTACACGTGTTGACTGCAGGCCCGTGCCGTGTCGACTCGGCGACCTCCCCAGCGCAGGCGTACCGAGGTCTAGGCCGGAAGCGCGGTTCGAAGAACAGCAGCGGCCTAAGCATGACTTCCCGGAGGTCCTCGTGGATTTGATGGATCCGCGCTGAAATCGGGCCGATGTCGATCGCTTTGCGTTGTCGGGGCGCAGCGTGAGCGATCCTCGCGGCCGTCAGAGTTCCACACTGTGGGTCGCCACGGCACGAGCCCGCTCCTTCTGCGGTGCACCCGGAGCTCCGACGTCGTGTGCCTTTTTTGCCGCCGCGTGGGCCACCCCCTGAGGTCCAGACCCGCTCTCTCTCTCCCCCAGACCGGCTCTTCACCTCGCGCCGTTCTCCTCGGGGGCGCCCACGACGGGGGTGACCACGATCAGGGGCGTGCGTGTGTGGCTGTCATGGCCAGGGCCATGGCACCTCCCCCGCCCTCCCTGGCCCCCTCTCCCTCCTGTGTTCTGTGCCTTGGCCCCCCCTCTCTCGGCGGCGCACGTGCCCCGGGCTCTGATACCTACCAGCCTGGAACATATCCCCATCCCTGTGCTGGGCATCTCCTCATCACGATGCCAATCTTAGGGATTCCCTTATGTTTTGAGGGCGAATCCCTAAGATTGTCATCGCCTTTTGGCGTGTCAATCTTAGGGATAGGGATACGTTCGAGGCTGGTAAGATACGCGAGCCAGCTCCTGGACGCCCCCCTCTGGACCGCTCCCGGTCGACGCCCCCCCCCCGGGGCTCGGGGAGTCGGGGGCGGCCAAGAGGGGGGTGATGACTGGGGGGGTGGATCTCCTGGCCGGTGCCATGATATCTCCCCAAATTTCATGGCGCGACTTCTTGTTTCAATACGTCCCCGGCCCCCCCCTGGGTCGCGCACGTGCCGCCGGCCATGATTTGCGCCCCGCCCTCTCGGACGCCTTCCTCTTGGCCGCCCCCGAGTGAGGGCCCTCGGATCGGGAGCCCTGAGACAGGGGTCAACGCAAACGGGGGTCAGCCAGAGCGCCCGTTCTTGCAGGACCCTGCAGGGGCAGGGTCGCATGGACCCGGGCTTGGGCGCATGTTCCTGCAGGATCTTGCCGGATCCTTCGCATTGACCTGGGCTTGGGCTTGCAGGAGCTTGCAGGATTCTGCAAGGCCTGACTGACCCTCGGGTCTGGATTGACCCGGGTCAGAAGATCCCCGATCGGAGGCCGAATGTGAAGAGCCGAAAATTTCCCGCGCGGCGGCTCCTACGACGCCGCGAGGAGGCCTGAGTGCACGCGTGCACGCGTGCACGCGTGCGTGTCGGTGGCGCCGGCGAGCCCAGGGCGGGCAAGAGTCGGTGGCATGTGCCTCCGAGCCGCCCCGCCGCCTCCTGGGGAGGCCTGCCTCCTCGTACGCGGACCTTCCAGAGTGGTGCCACAGAAATAATCGAAGAAGAAAAAACACATGAACATAAACTTTCGCCGCTCCGCGCGGATTTCTCGGATCCGAGCTGGGCCCCCCCGGCGGCGCCTCCGGCGCCGCCCCTGGCGCGCTCCGCGCGCCAGGAAGGGGGGCCCAGCGCAAATCCAAGAAATCCGCACGGACCGTCGACATTTTATGTTTACGTGTGATTTTCTTTCTCTAAATCGAGCCCTCCGGACCTCCCAGACCTCCTCGCGTGGTGACAGAACTCGCGACGGGAAATCTGTCGCTGTCTTCGGCCTCCGGGGGCCCTCGCCGGGCCTCGGGGCCATCAGGCAACGGCTCAGGATGAAATGCCGGTCCCGGGGAAGGGGCCCAGACCCCCGGGGGCCGACGTTGCGAACACAATCACGACGTCGGGGACCTATAGGTTCGGCCCTCCTGGAGGCTCCGGGCACTCCTCCCCTCGGCGCGCCGCCGACGGAAGGGCGAGGCACGTGTCCTCCTGCTCGGCCGCTCCTCTGTGGGGGGGGGGGGAGCCGGGAGAGGAGGCGGAGTACGTGTCCGGTCCTCCTGTTCGGCCGCTCCTCCTGTTTGGGGGGGGGAGCCGGGAGAGGAGGCAAGCCGCGCGTGCGCCGCCCGCCTGCAGTCCCCCTCCCCCGCCCCCCTGGTTTCAAGAGGGGGAAGACGTATATGGCTGGCCGACAGGGCCGAGGCCGCGGCGCGGAGAGCCGCCGGCCCGGCCCAGAGGAGGAGGAGTCTCCCAGACCTCCTCGCGCTGTGAGCAACCCTGACCTTCCAGGAGGGCTAAAAAATAGCACGCGACCTAAAAACCTATCCTAGAGCTATTCTGCGTCTTGGTTTTAGGCAGTTTCGCTCAGCTTTTTAGGTTTTTAGGTCTCCAGTGCTAAAAAGTAGCTCTCTGGAAGGTCAGGGAAAGTCACGACGGGAGGTGCTCCATCCTTTCCGGCCTCGGGGGGCCCGCCTTCCCGGGCCTCGGGGCCGTCACAGAGCGACTCAGGACGAAGAACCGGTCCCGGGGCACAGGTCCAGAGTTCTGGGGGTCGACGCTGCGAGAAAATCACGACGTGGGGGGTCTGGGGTGGACGGCGCGGGAGGGGCAGCGGCCTCGTCGCTCGTCGTCACGTCGTTCTCCTCCCCCCCTCGTGGTCCTCCCGCTCCTGCTCTCGACTGGGCGCAGGAGTGGCCTTGCGAGGGAGTGACCTCTGGTGCGGGCCCTGTGGGGTCCCCCGATCGCCGAGCGCGATGCGATATCTACGCCCTGCGCGTTTATTGTTTTTTTGTGTTGTTTTGTTGTTGTTGTTGTTGTTGTTGTTGTTGTTGTTGTTGTTGTTGTTGTTGTTGTTGTTGTTGTTGTTGTTGTTGTTGTTGTTGTTGTTGTTGTTGTTGTTTTTGTTGTGTGTGTGGGTGTGTGTGTGTGTGTGTGTGTGTGTGTGTTTGTGTTTGTGTGTGCGTGTTTGTGTGGGGGGTGGCCCGCGGCCCCAAAGAAAGCCGCGCACCAAAGGTCACTCTTACCCAGGGTCGCCCCTTGCGCGTCGTCGATGCTCCCTGTCGTTGTCCTTGCCGTGCCTCTCCTGATCGTCCTCCCATGCCTGCCCTTCCTCCTAGCCGACCGCCCGCCCCCCCTCCAGTGGCAGATTCCCCAAGTCCCGAATCAATGTCGCGCGTATCGGCCCGCCGTTCTGCGAGGGGGTTCGGCACGTCGCATTTGCGGAGGACCTCGTTTGCCCCCCCAACAGGGGTGCTTCCGTTTTCCCGACGCGGGCTCGACGCGGATTTGGCGTGGATTCGATGCGGTTTCGGGGTGGATTCGACACGGATTCGACTTGGATTCGGCGCGGGTTCGACGAGTCCAGCGTTGATTCAGCGCGGACCCGAGGCGGATGGGGGCGCGACGGGACAGACAAGGTCCACAGAAGATGCGACATAATAGAAGGAGTCGGACGGGGCTGGGACGACGATATATCCGTTCCAGAGCGTTCCAGAAGGCTCTCAGAGCGTTCCGGGGCGCTTTGAGCAGGAGGCCGCGGCGCCCGAGACATCCTCCAGAGCCGCCAGACCCCCCCCACCCCATATATATATATATATATATATATATATTCGCTCGAATTTATCTCTCTGGGCTTTCCTGGCCCTCCAGGGGCGCGCTCCTGGCCGCGGCTGGATCTCCGCCTCGAGATTCTCTGGTTGCAGCGCACACCCCCAGGAGTGGTCCTGGGGTCGATTGTGAAGGCCTGACGGCCGGTGCTGCCGACCCTGAAAGACATAGACGACGACCAGGAGGGGCAGGAGGAGGAGGAGGAGGAAGAGGAGGAGGAGGAGGAGGAGGAGGAGGAGGAGGCGGAGGCGGAGATAAGGAGGAGGAGGAGGAGGAGGAGGAGGAGGAGGAGGAGGAGGAGGAGGAGCGCACCCCCCCTCAGGAGTGGTCCAGGGGTCGATTCCTGATCACTGCTAGCAAGGGGCAACGTCTGGGAGAGATGGCCTTTGGCTTAAGTCGGGCCTGTCCCTCTACAGGAGGAATCTTCCAAAATAGTCAAACAAAATATGGGGACGATTTTTTGATCAATGTTTGGCCATATTTGGGCATTTCAAAGATGTTTTACATTTGTCACTCAAAATCCCCCTGAAGAGGGAGACGCCCGACCTAAAGATGGCCTTAGGCCTGAGGGCCCCCAGGTTTTGGCACGTCCTCGGCGGTTCTCGGCGCTCTTCCAGCCTCGGGCACATTGCTGCCAGCCGTGGAGTTGTGCAGTGCATGGATAAGCAATTTGGAAAGCAATTGTTAAACAATATTGTCTTCCCGTTGACCCCATAGATGCTTAGGTGCAATCTCCCGTTGTTGCTTTACCTTGGCGGAGTGCACTTTTCCCCTGCTGAGCCGATGTGTCGTGCGACATTGCTTGCGAACGAACGAAGGAACGCGGCCGATGCGCCTCGCGCCGAGTGTGCTTTCGGGGGCCGACCTAAAGCCAGGGGCAGCGCCAAGGGGAAACTTCAAAAATAGTAAGAACATAGTCAGGGGACATTTTTTAAAGGTATTGTTGAGTCTTTCCTTTTTTGTGTATTTTCATTTTTCGGCCAAAATATGCCTGTCGGGGGACATGCCCGACCTGAAATTAGATGTTTGGAGCATGCTTCATGTTTCGCCCCAAATCCGCCTGCAGGGGGACAGGCCCGACCTGACCCTGACGCTCCCCCGACATCGTGTTTGCCCTTCCCGGCACGGGCCCCCGGAGGTCCCGACCCGCTCCCCGGTTGGGCGTTGCGTAATGGGGGGGTCATAAATGGGGGGTGTCGCGGGTGGTCCGAAAAGGTACCCAAACGGTACCCAAACGAGCCCCCTGGGGCTCTGGAGGGGCCCGAAAGGGGACCTTTTCTGACCCCCCCATTTGTGACCCCCCCATTAAGCAACGCCCAACCCGGGGACCCGCTCTCCGCCTTCATAGCCTTGGGGTCTGACGGCCCCCGGGGCCTGGTGCGGGCCGCGGAGGCCGGCAGGCTGGGGGAAGGTGCTGCACGCGCCGCCCGCTGTTCGCGACGCGGGGGCGTCGGGGTCGATGTCCCCCCCCCCCCCCCTCCCCATCCGAGCCCGTTCCCCTCGTTCAGAAGCGCCCCTGCTCCTCAGGAGGCGCAGGCCTCATCTATATCATCTATATAGATGTGAGGCCGGCGCCTTCTGAGAAGCGGCCTCCTTCTACCAGAAGCCCTCCCCCCTCCTTCCGCCCCCTTGTCGGGGTAGATGTTCCCCCCCCCACCCCCTCCCACCAAACCACCCCAGCCCAACCCGAAGGCCCCGATTTGCCTCCCATCTCCAGTGGGGGGGTGGGGTCGGGGAACATTGGGGAAACACGTATGATGCCCGTACCCCCCCCCCAGCCCGAAGTTCGGGTCTTCGGGTTGGGTTGGGGTGGTCTGGTAGGCAGTCACCCTCCTGGGGTTGCGCCTCCGTGCGGCGTCTTCGAGGTAGGGTGGCGCGCTCCCCGCCGCTCCGCAGGGCCCCCTCCCCAGGGTTGAGTGGGGCCTTGTACCTCTACAGCACAGCAGGAATACTCAAAAATAGTTGAAACATAGTTTGGTGATTAGTTTTTGATGCTTGTTTGACTCGTTGGAGGCATGTTTGACACATGTTTTCATTTTTCGCCCAAAATCCTCCTGCAGGGGGACGCCCGACCGAACCCCAGGGCTGCCGCCACGGTCAGCCTCGTCTCCGAAGGTCCTGGTCGGAGCGCCCTTGGGGTGGAGGACGAGGAGGAGGAGGAGGAGGAGGAGGAGGAGGAGGAGGAGGACGCCATCTGCGAGCAGGAGAGGACAACAAATATACATAGATATGCATGTATCGAGAAAGAGAGACATTAAGAGGGAGAGAGAGAGAGAGAGAAAAAAAAGACATAGCCAACACACACATATATACATATATAGATGCAGGTGTATACACACACATATCTATACGATATATGTGGAGAGGGAGAGAGAGAGAGAGAGAGGGAGAGAAAGAGACACATAAAATATACAACAAAGATGAGAAAGTAGGGAGGATTCAGCAGGGCGGTTGAAGAGACCGCGGCAGGAGGAGGAGGAGGAGGAGGAAGAGGAGGAGGAGGAGGGAAAAGGGAAGAGGAGGGAAGGGGGGAGGGAGCAAGGGGAAGGGGTGAGTTGGGATGTAGGAGGGATGAAGGAGGAATGTGCAGGAGTGGCCAGGAACGGGGTGAGAGTGAGGGGAGCGGAGGGACATGGGAGGGGTGGAGGAAAGGCAGAGGAGGAGGGGAAAGAGAAGGATGCGAAAGCGTCCGATCGTCCCCTTTCAGGCTTCTCGCTCCTCCCTCTCGTTCCTCGTCCTTGTTCATGCTCTAACCCCCCCTCTCCTCCCCTCCTCTGCCTTCTGGCGAGGGCCATCATCTTCCCCCGCCGCCGCCCCGAATTCGCAGCCCGA